ACGTGATAGGTTTCTGCAGCTTCCTCCTCACCTTTCAGAGTTTTGAGGCTATCTGGCGGAGATGACGCTGCTCTACTTCATTGCTCGATCGCAAAGGTTCAAACACGAAGGTACTACAGTTCCCTAACTTGATTCATACATTTGTATGACCCATCCAGGCATAACTCCAGATAGTCCTCGACTTACGATCACAATTGAGCCCAAATTTTCTGTTGCTAAGTGAGACCTTGGGTAAGGGAGTGTTGCCCCATTTTATGACCTTTCCTGCCACAGTTGTTAAGCGAATCATTGAAGTTGTTAAGCTCGTAAGATGGTGGTTAAGAGAATCTGGCTCTCCTATTGACTTGGCTTGTCAGGTTGAAGAAAGGGGATCACATAACCTATGGGACACTGCAACCATCATAAATGTGAGTCAGGAAGGAAGTATGGAGGGAGGGTGGGAGGAAGATATCAAATCTATTTCAACCATAAATATATTTTGATTTTTTCTTTTAGCAGCATAACTTGTTCATACTGGCCCAGAATCAAATCCTGCTTCCTTGCAACTAAGTCTGGATTGCAGGATACCCTCATTGACTTTTAAGGAGGCCCATTTCCTTGCAAGACTGATCATCATCAGTGGGTTTTCAGCCCTTCATCTTATGTGATCAAGTGCAGGATAGATGAAATTGATTAATGGGTGGAATTGCTTCTCATCCCAGACTAAGGGAAACAGACTTGCTTTGTCATTAACTCTTATCATTGGTGACGTTTTCCTAGCAATGCAAGCCTGCAATTACAGATCATCTATTCTATACAATTACTGTCATATATGCTTTGGGTTTCATTTGTTGAAGATAAGAATTTCAATAGCTTTCAAGCGTGTTGATGGCTATAGTCAATTAGCTGTAATTTACATGTGTGTGTTTTGTGTGTGGGTTCGCACATGCTTGGGGTTTTCTTCCATGGAAGTCCCATTGAACTGAATGGTAACCATGCAACAACAAAAAGCTGAACCTCTACCATTATCTATCTATCTATCTATCTATCTATCTATCTATCTATCTATCTATCTATCTATCTATTTATTTTACTCATTTTCTGTCTGTCTGTCAAGCTGTTAAGAACGCTGATGGTGAAGATCTTCCAACTATCTATTTTGTCTCACTTTTGATTAAAGTTGACATATTCAAAAGATGAGCTAAGGCACGCACATAATTAGTTCATTATTTTGACTTGAAAAAATGGCTTTTCTGAAACAAAAGAGTGCTTATTCCCAAATAAAGCTTGACTGTTTGAAGGGAAGCACACACACACACCCCCCATTAACCGCAGGGTGGTAAATTACCTAGCTGAGATTTAAAGACCATTCTTTGCATTGCTTCCCTATCTGTATTCTTTTATCCTTTTATTATTGTTACACACCCGGAGTCTTTAGATTCTGGCCTACAGAAATGTGAGAAATAAATAAGTGAATAAGTAAAAACAAAAAATAAGAAACACGAATTAACAGGGTCAACGCAAACGTTAGATTTAATGAAGCAGCTATCTCAAGCAGCAGATGCTGGAGCAGGATTCTTAATCCCTGCCATCTTGTCTCTTTTCAGGATAAAGAAATAGGCACCTTATGGCTTGTACTTCCATCGCTAAATTAGATTTAATGCTCTCAGATGAAATTAAAAACTTAATTTCTTCGCCAATAATTTTTCTTTAGCTACACTTGACTTTTGAGGTACACTCCAAAGTTAGGTAGAACCAGAGAGAGAGAAAAAACAGGTTTGAGGAAGACTTGGGAGTTGAGAACTTAAGGTCTGCACTGACATGATGTCTTTGAGCTAGCTGATGTCATTTCTATTCTTCCTGATGTGAATTTGTCAGGAAACTTGAGACCTTTTCCCATCCTATCAGCATTGGGAGTCTTAAGAATGGAGAGGTGATGAAGGTGAAGGGGTCACCTAACCCAAGAAGGTATCCAGTCAATCTCTTCTCTGCCCCAATGTTTTTTGGAAGGCTGCAGTATCTCAGGGGCTGCCCCAAAGAAGAGGGAATCAAGCTATTCTCCAAAGCACCTGAACGCAAGACAAGAAGGAACGGATGAAAACTAACCAAAGAGAGAAGCAACCTAGAACTAAGGAGAAACTTCCTGACAGAACAATTAACAGTGGAACAACCTGCCTCCAGAAGCGGTGAAAGCTCCAACACTGGAAGTTTTTAAGAAGAGACTGGACAGCCATTTGTCCAAAATGGTATAGGGTTTCCTGCCTGAGCGGGAGGTTGGACTAGATGACCTCTAAGGTCCCTTCCAACTTTATTAAGTGCCTTGGATGTTGACTTGGGGTGCCACCAAGAGTAATGTGGTTTAAGCCCTATTGATTTCACTGGGAATAAAATGCAATCCACTTGATCTGTAAACCACCCAGGTCTCCGAGGGTCGCAATACACGTTAACAGAAATTTCCTGCACTCTTTTATGTTCTTCATCCCAACATTATTTAAAAGCTCCACAGAAGTCACGTTGGGGAACACGATGTAATATTTCTGGATGGATAGCAGCTTGAAAAGCCGGTACTTTGTGAATTTGATCCTGTTTATACAACTCCCGAACAAGAGCCCTGGACGCTGCATCTAATCTGATGTTATTTTCCTCAAGATTAGGATTCTACTCAGGTTCCTGACTTGCTGTTTTTCATTTTCATTTTATCGTAAGCAGTTTAAGATGGTTGCCAGTGGTAATTTGCAATTTTTATCAAGACCTCTTCATTATAGCTTCTGACAGGACAGATGCTGTAATTAATCATGCAAGACAACTGGGGATAGTGGTCAAACTGTTTTCCTTGTATGGAGAAAAAAGAGGAGGGGGGATGTAAAACAGTGAGTACAACAGGGCTCCTGATTTCCTTTTTCATAGTACAGGCAATAAAATTTTTAAGGTCAACCTAGATAAAACAGCAGAATCAAAGGATTCTGAACTAAATACGCAGAGGCAGATCTAGGCAAAACAATGTCTGCCAACTAGCACCATCCTAATTGCAATATAGATATTGCTGTACTTGTTTTGTTGGCACATAAGGGAAAAAAATGCATTTAGTGACCAAATGGGTAAAGATGCATTCAAACTTAACTTAACCCCCGTCAGAAAGCTTGAACAGCATTCTTCAAAATGAAAAAGGTCTTCTGCAGTCACGACATAAGCTTAAGACTGAAAATCAGGCTTGTCAGATGCTGTATTTTTCCTATCCTGCTCTATGGAGTAGAGAGCTGGTCTCTGACACAAGGCCACCTGAAGAGACTAGAAGCATCTGAAATGTGGATTTACAGGCGGCTGTTACGTATAAGCTGGACTGACAAGATCAGAAATGAGAAGGTGATAAACCGCCTGGGAAAGCCAAGGGAAATCATCAAAACAATTAAAAAACGAAAGTTAGAATATTTCGGACATGTGATGCGACACCCAGAAAATACGGCATACTCCATTTAATCCTCCAGGGAAAGATTGAAGGCAAATGAGGTCCAGGCAGAAGAAGAACATCGTGGCTTCAAAATCTAACAGACTGGTTTGGACAAAACTCAGCAGCACTTTTTTGTGCGGCTGCTGATAAAAACAGGATCGCCAACATGATCGCCAACGTCCGATAACGGATATGGCACAAGAAGAAGAAGAATTCCATAGTGACAATAATTGTTGGTTATTTTGGGTTTAATTGTGGTCATAAGTCGAGGACTACAAGATCGTGGGATTCCAACCTTCTGTATGCCACAGTTGTCACCAGATGGGCCCATAAAATTTTCCATTCATATTCCATATTCAGCACTAATTACAATTTTGTAAAGCTGGTTGTTGGTGGTGGTGATGGTTTTTTTTTTCCTGAAATGTGTTTATTCTATAGCAAGATAAAAACATTTCTTTTAGATAAGCAAAATACAAACAACTTAATTGCTACTATCGTAACTCATAAAAAAGTATAAAATAGCATAAAAACACAATAAGCAATGCCGCAATTAAATCATTCATGTTACCAGTGTTTACATTAAAGCCTCATTTATGAAAACTTTACAACACATGATCTGAAAACTTACAACCTTTTAAAGAAAATATTTACACTGATTATTCAGATGTGGCAATCCCCTTTAAATAATCTACCAATATTACATCATATTTGAAAAACTCACATTTTTTTCTTCTTACTTTTTTTTGTAATAACAGTTTATTTAAGTGCATTTCCTTTTTTTAAAAAATACAGTGTATTAAATCTGAAAGTTCACCCAAACACAGAATAGAATATTCAGTTTCTTTTTAATGGGTGGGTATGAGCAGAACTGAAAAAGTGTGCGTTTTATTCCAAACTATTGGAGAATTTGGAATAACATGGTAAAATGAGAAGATGGCGTTTGATGTTGATAAACTTCAGAAGACATTATTAAAAAGGAAAAAAAAAAGAGCTTTGGCAAAAGTCTGTGACATTTCTTTTACATCATTATTATCCATGATAGAAAAACACCGTCAGCTACTCATGTCATAGGAGCATGATTGTATGAAATCCAATCAACATTTTACAGGTAGTTACAACTGTGCTTTTAAGAGCTTCGTGGGTTCAAATTGATTCCAAAACTTAACTGGTGGGCAGTACATCACCAGAATTTTGTAGGAAGGAACAATTTTAATCGGAAAAAATGTAAAAAGGCCATTTTTACTTTGTCAAGTCTTCTTGCCCAGGCATTTAAGACTATTCAGTTCGTGTATTTTTAGTAAAGCTTGGAATAAATAAAAAAAAATGGGCCACATTAAAAAAAACAGCAGAAAAAAAGAGCACAGCTTATTTGCCTAAAAAACAAAAGAGAAAAGAAATGCAAAGCAAAGGAAGGAAAAGGGGAAGGGAAGGGGGAAGGGAGGAGGAAGGGAAGAAGGAAGGGAATGGGGAAAGGAAGAGAAGAGAAGGGGAGAGGCAAAGAGGAAGGGAAGAAAAGGGAAGAGAAGGGGACAGGGGGAAGGGGATGGGGAAAAAGAAGAGAAGGGGAGCGGGAAGGGGATGGGATGGGAAGAGAAGGAGGAAGGGAAAGGCAAAGGAGGAAGGCAGGAGGGAACGAAGAAGGGCGAAGGGAACCAGGAAGGGAAAGGAACCCTGGGAAACAAATATTTATAATTCAGCTAAAGGATTATACCCAGCTACACTGTAGTTCTTTATTGCCTATCTAATAGACAGCTTAGAAGTCTCTTTATGTGTTATGCGTTCCCGCATAACTCCTCATCAGCAATGCGCAGTGTCCGCCCGATGCACCGCTTTGCTTCCTCCGCGATGCAAAGCACGGCCGACTTTGCGCCTCTTCAGAAAATGCCGGCCTGCGATAAGAGCGGAGTCTGCGTCTGGCCTTGTATTTGGGACGGGTGGGGCTGGCTGGCGGAGGGTGGGCTGCCGATGGCCGCGATTGGTGAGGTGATCTGCGAGGAAACCGGGGAAAGCTGCTGCGGGGAGGGCTGTGGCGGGTGCTGCTGCTGCTGCTGCTGCTGCATCTGTTGCAACTGCTGCTGATGCAACTGCTGCAGCTGGATCTGTTGCAGCTGCTGCTGCATCTGCTGCTGCATGTGGTGCTGGAAATGCTGCTGCTGCATCTGCTGCTGGATCTGCTGGTGCAGCTGCTGCTGATGCATCTGCTGGTGGTGCATTTGCTGCAGCTGCAGCTGCTGCAGCTGCTGCAGCTGGTGTTGCTGGCTTTGCAAAGAAGGGCTGACTTGGGAGGGGGCCGAAGCCGGCGTGGCGGCCAAGCTGGTCGTCATGGTGCTGGTCAGCGAGGGGGACATGTTTGTAGGCCCACTGGAGGCAGCCGAGGTGGGGGCAACGATGGGGCTCCCGGTCAGCCGCATGCTTAAAGGTTTGGGGGCAATGGCCCTGGGAAGAGACTGCGGGAGAGTCTGTGGGGAGGGGACAACCGTTGCGTGCTGCGAAAGAGGGGTGTTCAGAAGCAAGGAAGAGGACAAATTCGTAGAGGCCAGAGTCTGCTGGACGGACCGGATCGTCTGGGCTTCAGCTGACTCGGCAGCAGCCTGTGCGTCAAAAAGAGAAGGCAACAACAATAAGTCTACTCATCTGGGTTAGGGGTTTCAGATTAGGGTTATTTAGGCAGCTTTGGTCTCAGTATTCATGTATTTCATCTCAGTACGTTCTGTGATGGAGTGATGTGGTGGCCTAGTGGGAGAGGTCTGGCCTCCCAATCTGTGAGGCTGTGAGTTCGATCCTAGGTAGCAGCAGTTATTTCTCTCTCTGGGCACAATAATTGTCTGCTGTGAACACCATGTAGGTGTCAGGAAGGGCATCCGACCAGGAAACTCTCAGCTCCATTTGGTCGTCCTCAACTCCACCCCAAATGGCAAGGAATTACAGAGTCGTTAAAAAAGAAAAAAAAAGGATATTCTGCTGCAGTGCTTTACATGACACTCCTTTGATCTTATTTGTTGAAGAAATTAAACATGTTGGACCTATTATATCGCACTTTTAAAAAGTTCTTAATTGTTCAACTTGCCCTGCCTTTTCCCACAGGTTTAGTTCTGCGTTTGCAGGTAATTTTCGAAGGAACAGGGACCCCATTATACACCTCAAGCAAGGAGATGGCTACTTTTTTAAAAAAAAAAAAACCTTTGAACAAGATGATTGAAAAAGACAATAAATCTGCATTGAAAACTGCTCCTATCCGTTGAACTGAAATCGGCATTAAGCTCACCTTTGACACCAAACTAGCTCTGTAGGCTGCCAGGGCTTTGAGGTATTCCTTCTTGGCAGCTTCTGTTTTCCTTTTATATACCTGTTAAAAATGGTACAATTTTAATATCATACCTTCGTGCCCAGAAGCTTCACAACTTGCTTGAAGAGGAACAGTTATTTGGGAGGGGGGAAGGAGGAAGGAGAGGAAGAGGAGGAGGACGATGACAAGGAAAAAGAAGGAGGAGGAGGAGAAGGAGCAGGAGGAGGAGGAGGAGGAGGAGGAGAAGAAGAGGAGGAGGAGGAGGAAGAAGAGGAAGAAGAGGAAGAAGAAGAAGAAGAAGAGGAGGAGGAGGAGGAGGAAGAGGAGGAGGAGGAAGAAGAAGAAGAAAAAGAAGAAGAAGAAGAGGAGGAGGAGGAGGAGGAGGAGGAGGAGGAGGAGGAGGAGGAGAAGAAGAAGAAGAGAAGGAGAAAATAGTAGTAGGACAATTGCTAACATGGTCAACACTGTAACTATGTAAAATAAAATAAGTCGTTTTGTGAGATAGAAAAGAACAAAAAACTTTTTAAGTCTGGATTTTGTACAAGCATGTGCGCCTATTTCTATGTTTGTGTGTGCACGTGTGCGCACACCCATGCACCTGCAAGGAGCACACTATTGCCCAATAATCCACAAACATCCCATCGGTGAAAAAAATCCCTTCTAATCCGCCCATCCACTGGTTCATTAAAATCCCACCGCCGCAAATTCAAGACTGCTGGGTAGGTCTTAAATCGGAGTTTCTCGGGCGAGACTACAGGCAGCCTGATCAGGTCCCCATCTGTGCTCGCTTCCTCATTAACGAAGTCCTCCCCCCAAAAGACCAGGCCCCCCCCCGCTGTTTAATTAGATGGATTGCAATCTTTGGCACCTTTCCCTCCAAACTCCAAGGTCCAAACTCCCCCCCCCTCCCCTCCGCTCACCTGTTTTTGCTCTTCTCCTAAGCCGTCCCACATGGAGGCCACGATTTTTGAAACCTCACCAAAAGTGGCGTTGGGATTCTGGCCTTTAATGGCTGCTTGCGTGTCCCTGAAGAAGAGGGCGTAGGCAGAGACGGGCTTCTGCGGTTCGTTCGGATCTTTCTTTTTCTTTTTCTTCGGAGTTTTGGGCTTCTTGCCAGGATCTGGGGCAGCTCGCTTTTCTCCGGCAGCCTGAGAGCAGAAAGGACGAAAGTCATCAGCCTTGGCCTTTCACCGGCCGGACGGGATAAAAAAAGAATCGGTTGGATAAAGGCGTTGGGTTGGCCGGAAACAGAGGTTTGAAAGGGAGCTCAGGGCTTGGTCTGCAACTCCGTTCAACTATAGGCAGTCCTCGACTTACGAACCACAACATGGGGGCCAGAATTTCTGTCACTAAGCAAGTTGATACCCGAGACAGGCCTGTTCTCATGATCTTTTTTTTAAAATTGATTTGTATCCCTTTATTGTTTTTGCAAATAAACCATGGCAGCAAATATCTCCAACACATCTCTTATTTTCCAACAACAACAACCCTGTGAGGTGAGTTGGACTGAGAGAGACTGGCCCAAAGTCACCCAGCTGCCTTTCATGGCTAAGGCGGGACTAGAACTCACCGTCTCCTGGTGATTGGCCCAAAGTCACCCAGCTGCCTTTCATGTGTAAGGCGGGACTAGAACTCACCGTCTCCCACTTTCTAGCCTGGTTTCTTTGGTTAAGCCAGCGGTTCTCAACCTATGGGTCGCGACCCCATTTGGGGTCGATCGACCATTTTTCGGGGGTCGCCAAAGAAGGCGATCTGCCATTTTCTCCCCTCAGGGGGCGGTGCCGTGCATGCGCGCCGCGCATGGGGCGGTGCCACGCATGCGCGCCGCACATGGGGGCGGTGCCACGCATGCGCGCCGCACATGGGGGCAGCCCCGTGCATGCGCAGCATGCATGGGGCAGCACCGCGCATGCTCGGCGCGCATGGGGGGCGGTGCGGCGCATGCTCTGCGTGCATGGGGGGCAGTGCTGTGCATGCGCACTGCGCATGGGGGTCGGCGTGCATGCGCGCCGCGCATGGGGGGTCGGCGCGCATACACGCCGCACATGGGGGTCACCGTGCATGCGTGCAGTGTCGCGCATGCGCAGAATGTTTGTGTGACGGGAGTCGCCGTCACACAAACGTTGAGAACCACTGGGTTAAGCGAATCACTGCCATGATTAAGTCAATCCCGGGGTTGTTAAAGGAACCCAGTTTTCTCCTTTGACTTTGTTTGTTGGGAACCACCCTGTAAGGTCTCAAATGGCAATCCCATGACTCTGGAACACAGCAACCATCCTTAAATAAATGCTGGTTGCGAAGCGCCCAAATTCTGGTGATGTGTCCGTGGGGATGCTGCGACTGTTGTTAAGGGTGAGGGTTGGTCATAAGTCACTTTTTTCAATACTGGTGTAACTCTGAATGGTTGCTAAATGAATGATTGTACATCGAGAACTACCTATAAACTTGGCTGGTTCAGATCACGTGCAGCTGCTCTTGGCAGCCACAGACAGGTGAGCTCCAAAGCAGCTCCAGGAAATAACTTCACAATGTACAGGTGGTTCTCTGTTTTAAATACAGACACTCACCCATGCACACCTGGCAGAATGAACACTCAACCTCAAATACTTTGTATATAATGCGTTGCAAACTATCCATATTGACTCATTTTGAAAACATCCACTGAAGAACCCCCTCCATTATCCCACTTGAGGCTTTTAGAAAGACCCCCTTCCCCAGTGGGGGGGGGGAAATCCCCAAAGTTGGACAGTTTTATTTTCTTCCCTTTTTCTCAAATGTTTGGAGGGGATCAGGACCCAACTGGATAGCAGAAGTCTAATAGAGATGAAGGCACACCCTTCAGCCCTTAAAAAAAAACAGTTCACCTCATCTCACAAGCTGCCCCTAAGTCTACTGCTCTCCTTTCAGTTTCTGCACTGCCAAATTGATTGATTGATTGATTGATTCATTCATTCATTCATTCATTAAAATTTGTTTGCTGTCCATCTCACCACAAGGTGACTCTGGACCAGCTTACCACATGAAATTCTACAGCTAGAACATCTTAAGCAGGAAAACTTTCTTAAGTGCCAAATGGACCCCAGTAACATTTGAGAAATAAGATATACTCCATGTGAAAAGAAGAGGAAACAACCCTTTGTACTTTCCCAGCCCTTTTGTTCGCGCTGTTGCTAATGTCTTTGTTAATTCTTCCGGGTCAAAACAGCAATGAGTAGAGTTATTTTTCAATCCTTTCTCAGCTCCTGTGAGTCTCTCTCTGAAGCTCCCCTATGTAGCTTCCAGGCAAAATTCTGGTAAAAACGCCACTTGATAGATCCACACTTTCTATCTGTGCAAATTTTCCTGGTTCGCGTCTGGAACTGGCCTACCAATCTCTACATATACTTTGCTTAAGGTTAAATAACGGGAAAGGTTTCCCCACCGCAGGGAAAAGAAAGCCAAAGAAAAATAAGATGCTGTGCTAGAAACACACACATATAAAATCCTGCTATTTGTTTCCAAAACAGATGGCTGTGAGTTCAGATGTTATTTCTCCACCTGTCATCTCTCTTTTGGGGTGATCATTTAATCTCAAAGACGAAAGCAAACTGGAGAGCAGACTCATGAAAAGGTGAAGGCTGCGTTTTAGAAAGAAATGCATTGGGGTTTTTTTTTAAAAGCACGAATACCCAACAAGGTGGCATGTGAAAAATGTCAAAAGCACTGCAGCCAGAGATGACAAACAAAGGGACTGCATTTATAAAGCAGGAATCTATTCATGATGACCCTCATGCCGATAACTTCCTTCTTTTGAAAAATAGTCACAAAGGATCTCCAATAAGCATCTATGCCATAAAACTGGATAAACATCTATATATTTAACTCTTGTTTTTACAAACAACAACAACAGCCAACCAACAGCCAACCAACTACTATCTTGTTTGGTAGAATTCATTTTCTCTTGCATGGTACTGCAATAGAACACTTACAAGCCTTAGGTAAGCTATCATATTCACAAATAGGTAACTACTCCAAAATTACCTGAAAATCTGTTATTTTGGGCAAGGATTCTGAGCTCTTCCTGGAGCAAAATCACCAAAGGTTTATGCAGAAAGTGTTTCAGATTGATTGATTGATTGATTGATTGATTGATTGATTGATTAACACGTGCTGTAACTTACCCTGTTGGGGTCATCCACATCTTCTTCATTGATGGAACTGGATGGCGAGGGAGTTGCCGATTTGCTTGCAGGAGGGGAAGGAGAAGTGTGTGGCAAGTTGGTATTCCCTAGATTTAATCCCAGTTGAGCACTTAGCTGGGACTGGTTAATAGTAGTAAGCTGGTTAGCAGTCATAATTGCTGAACGAGTCGCTTCCGTCATGTGGACAACAGATCTCATAATCAAAGGATGGTCCTGCCGATACTGAGGCATTTCCGTATGGGTATGATCCTGAAACACAGAAAGAATAGAATTAATTAATTCTATTAATAGGATTTTGAGCTTTAAAGAGTCAGGATAGGAAGAAGAGTGTTGACACTTCTGAACGTTGGTGTTGGAGAACATTTGAGAAACCATGGAGAGCCAAGAAAACAAACTGATGGAACATTGAATAAATCAAACCCAGAGTTGATTTGGGCAAAAAGGACCAGGCCAACTTTGGACACATATGCCAACAACTTAGTTCTCTGGAATGTTGCCCTCTGCAAGGGGCTGCCCTTGAAGACTATAATGTAGCAATGTAGAAGTGATGGGAGCACTTAGGTATGTCCATGTAACAGTGGCTGGGTGAGTTGCACTGGTTATCAGTAAGCTTCTGGGTGCAAGTCAAGATGTTGGTTGTGATCTGGGGTCTGGCTATACGAAGGACCATCCAACGGTAGGCATGCTCCAAGTCCTCTCATTAAAAGTGTCATCTGATAGGTCCCAGGAGATGTTGTAGCTCTTGGTCTCTGTGGAATAGTATCGACTCCATATTCTGAGTAGCCCAAAGCCGGCTGTCCTTTAAATGGGCCTTAAAGATTTGGCTTTTCTTCCAAGCCTAAGTACAGTGTGAACTCTTGAGGGTGGTCATGCTATTCAGCAGATGGATGCTTTTTTCTCTTAGCTTCTCGAATTGACTGACTCTGAATTTTGGTTGAGAAATAGCAATAACACTTCCTAAACCTTTTCTATTCCCCGCACTCCTAGAACGCTTTGATATATTCTCGCACCCCTACACAAAAGTAATCTGGTTATGCACATACACTACAATTTTGAAACTTGTAAACCCAAGTTTTCGCACCCCCTGGAATATCGTTTCGCACCCCCAGAGGGTGCGACCACCTCCAGTTGGGAACCCGACTTAGACTTATATATGCCCTCACAATACTTTACAGGCCTCTCTGCAAGATTTACAAAGTTTGCTCCCAACAATCTGGATCCTCATTTTACTGACCTCAGAAGAACGGAAGGCAGAGTCAATCTTGAGCCCCATCAGGATCAAACTCCAGGCTGTGCGCAGAGTTTGCTTGCAATACTGCATTCTAACTACTGCACCATCAGGGCTCTTATAAAAGATTTAAAAAATCAATACTATTTAACAGTCCAGAAATATGCTACTTGTTAGAATCAGGCAGGTAGCATTTCCAAATCTGCAGAGAATCCAACTTCAAATGTATTGAGAATGATCCTTCTTTCTCTTTAGCAACTCTTGCTGTTGCTGTTTGCAAAAGGCTGCAATTATAGCCTGCCTCTGATTGGGAAGAAACATATACTTGTTATATTGCTATCACTGTTTTGGATTTGTCTGCCAGCAAGGTTTAGAACAAGCCATCCTCAGATTCTTCAAGATCCTTTTTCATACTAGAGCAGAGGAAATTTATTAAATCCATGAGACAATCCAAGTTAAGATAGTTAATGTTAGTTAGATGGAAAAATATAAGAAGTAAATGAAGGTTAGTTTTGTTTTGTTTTTTGTCTTGGCTATATCAACTCCTTTTTGGAAAGTGACTTGGTTTGGGGCTGAGTAAATGTTGCACACTTAGGCTAGACAATTGTGTTCCACAATTTTCCTCTCCAAGCAATGACAATATGATAGCAACAATGTTGACAACATGTTCAAAATAACAAAGACTTCGTTTACCAAATTGTTCCAATCACTAAACACATTAATGGAGCCTAAAATAAAACATTTTAGTTGTAATATATTAAACAACACTAATGTAACATTGTCCTAATTATAACCACACTTATTCAGCTTATCCATATCTGGATCATAAAGTTTATATTAAGAAGAATCTATGTATTAAAACAAACATACAAAAAAATTGGAACCATACATTTTATAAAGGAAGTAAGCTGAAATTATGCCTATCCAGGTTTGCAATAACCTAAAGAACATTCTAAATTTGCCTTTTTGGTAAAAAAAAGTAAGAATTTGGAAACCAGTACAAGTTTAGCTTTGGAGTGTTGTTTCCATAAAATTTCAAGTTATCTTCATTTCTTACTTTGAAAAAAAAAGTTCTTAATAAGAATAAAAAACAACGAATCATTTCTTTTGTGCTATAACACAGTTAAAATTAAGATAAACAGACCAACATATAAAGATTAAGCTGAAAGATGCTTCAAAGAACCATCAGCTGTTTCTTAACCTACATGGGTTAACACGAATTTCAGCGATGTAAACCATGGTTTTATTTAATAATTTTATATAATCCATCACTAATTCTTAAAAGAATAAGCACGCTGGCTGAGGAATTCTGGGAGTTGGAAGTCCACAAATCATCAAAGGGCCAAGTTTGAAAACCCCTGGTTTAACTAATTAAGCTAACACTTAGAAAGTAGGCATGTGGTAAGCTTCCATGGAGTAGATAACAGAATGACATAGTTGAGGGGGCCTTGAAGATCTTCTAGTCCAACCCCTGTTCATGCAGGGGACCCTATACAATTTCAGACAAATGGTTTCCCAATCTCTAGATGTCTTAGCCTCTTCCTGGTGGATTTTTCTTTGATAAATGAAAGCAACATAAAATACGTTTTGTAGAAAAGCATACCACATTATTCTCCCATAGTCTACCTCATAACATCTAATTTCATCTAAGTAAGATTGGGTCCCCAAAGCACGGCGATATTTTTAAAATGTTCCAAAACCTCACATTTTCATAGAAGAAAAACTTTACACCCACCAACATACATACTACAGGAATGATATATATTTTTGTAAAACCTGAGATAATTTATTTTTAATAAAAGAAAAAAGAAGAAAAATAAAATGTGGGCTGCAAAAAAAAAAGGCAATTATTTCCCCGTCTTGTTTCTTAGATATCTGAAAAAGAATTTCAAAATTCATCAAAGCTAACCTTCTCTTATGTACAACAGGCTAAGCTGAGAGAATGTTAACAAGTTCAATTTTCATTCAATCAGCACCGCTGCTCCCTGAAATGTTTCATTGCAGAAAAGAAATAAAAAATAATCTATATGGTAATTATTAGGATGAATCCCTCAGTAACTTTCGGCAACATAAAAGGTCAGTTCTATTCAAGATATTTTATCAGTCCCTTGCACGTACTCCGGTGCTGTCATTTTAAATCTGAACAGCATTTTATTTTCCCATTTACAGCTACCTGCAGAATTAAGTATTTAAGCCAAATAAGAAAAAAAAAAGGAGAGAGAGAAAGAGAGAGAGAGAAAAAAAAATCTCGAATGTTGGCAAAGGCTATAATAGCATGGAGATAAATTGTTCAGCTGCTCTCTCCCAAGCCTCTAGGGCTACAGATTTTTCTTCTCCTGGTGCACTGTGGGTATTCAAAACTTGTTCAACATGATTTCATTTCATTTCAGGCAGTGCCTGAGAAAACTAAATTACAGAATCAATCATACAGAAGGTCAGAGTGAGACTTCATTACAAGTATTGCATGCTTGCATGAATATCTTTCATTTATGACTGACCCAATATGTCACAATAGCTGTCTAGTAAAAATAATCCACTTTCTGAAATTGATGTACTACTGATGTCAGTGCTACTCAGCGGGTTGGGAAGATTATAGAGAGATGTTTAAAAGGTGGGGGGGGGAGGAGAAGAGAATTTGTTTTTTTAAAAAAAGATAGAACCCTATGGAGCCCAAAGAACAGCTTGGTAGAATGGTCGTCCATTGCAAATTAAAATAATTTCTCAGGTGATCACCGACAGTCAATGGTACTTTAGTTGGTAATGACTTGAGATGGTGTTTGCTAACGGGTTTCCATCTGCTTATGTCTAGATGTATACATATTTTTTCCCCATACTGTGTTATGTGCCCTGGGTGCTTTTCTAAACACAAATGGTACTTTATTCAATTTTTCCCTCCAGTAATTCATTTAAGAATGTTGATATTTTGTATTACCATATTATTAAAATGCCAATGCTAATGATACTGTATGCCTTCTCTCTCTCTCTCTCTCTCTCTCTCTCTCTCTCTCTCTCTCTCTCTTTCTCTTTCAGGGAAAGGAAATCTCAACCTAACACAATGCATTTAAATGAAGATAAATGCTTTTTTTCTTTTCTGTCCATAATCATAAACTAATCAGCAATATGAAAAATTGTCCCTCTCTTTACAAACAAAAAAGGACAGAGGCTAGTCATGGAAGGTAAGACAATGCATGGTGAGTTGTCCTATTAATCTTTTCTTGAAAGAGGTAGGAAATTGTTAATCTATTAACAGCCATCTTTAATAATTGGGGGGGGACTGCTGAGTTTGACAATAAAACTGCTTACTTGCACTTAAAATACAGCCATCTAAACTTACTAATGGAATGTAAAGCATTATTTATTATTCTGATTGTTTTCTGGCAGCAAATCTAAGAGAAGCTGGTAAAAGTACTGTTATGTAGCTAGTCAACTCAATGCCCTGAGGGAAACATGGGTGAACCTTGACATAACCTATTTTTTTACTCACGCCTCTGGCGATTTTATATTCAAGTTTGTAGGTGAACATGTCAGGCAGTATTCAGAATAAATCTGGAGACACAATGTATTAATCATAGCTTTTGCCCAAGTACATTTCATTTCTTCTCCGTTGACGCTTGAAAATTTCATGACATTTCTTCAAGGTGACATTCTGCTGGACATCTCAAGGGGTCAATCCATAAATCCAATTAAAAGAATGATCCTTGGCTAGAAAACTGTCCACAATGATGATGTTTCCAAAAACATTGAGGATTGCATGGGGTATATAAAAAGTTATGTTCTTGGAGAGCAACTCAACATGGCTTAGACCTTAAGTCTTCTCTCAGTAGCTTCTGCCTGCTAAAAAGATCAGGATGGTGGACTCTTTGGCGGCCATTTTTTTCTTAAAATATGTCATCTTCAGGGACCATAGGAATGAAGCTTCTAGATAACTGAGACCTTCTTTAGAACAATTTTTCTCCAGAAATTAGATTGGTTCCCATGCTGTTACTTTTTTAGAAATCCACCAAGCTAGTTTTTCATGCATAGATGAGTTCAGGAGTTTGATCCTGACCTGCTCAAGGTTGACTCAGCCTTCCATCCTTCTGAGGTCAATAAAATGAAGACCCAGATTGTTGGGGGCAATAGGCTGACTCTGTAAACCACTTAGAGAGGGCTGTAAAGCATTGTGAGGTGGTATATATAAGTCTAAATGTTAGTGCTATTGTCCTTCCTTCCTTCCTTCCTTCCTTCCTTTCTTTCTTCCAGTTAGAATGCAACATTGCAGGCTGATTCTGCCCACAGCCTAGAGTTCAGTCTTGACCATCTCAAGGTTGACTCAGCCTTCCATCCTTCCGAGGTCAGTAAAATGAGGACTCCAATTGTTGGGAGCAACAGGCTGGCTCTGTAAGCTGTTTAGAGAGGGCTATAAAGCACTGTGAGGTGGTATATAAGTCTAAGTGCTAGTGCTATAGATTGTTGATGACTAGAACACTTCTCCTAGAAGCTTGAGATAACAGAATAATGAACGGGATCTTGGAGGTCTTCTAGTCCAACCCCTTGCTCAAGCAGGAGATCCTATACCACTTCAGACAAATGGTTGTCCAATCTCTTCTTAAAAACCTCCAATGATGGAGGACCCACAACCTCTGGAGGCATTCCGTTCCACTGATTGTTTTAACCATCACAAAATTTCTCCTTACTTCTAGGTTGCTTCTCTCCTTGATCAGTTCTCTGTTCTTGGAATCCTGCTCTTTTCTTTCTGGCAGCATGCATGAGAGTTTTTATTTATTTCATTTAGGAATCTGCTACAGCAGAAGTCCCCAACCTTTTGGGCACCAGGGACCAGTTCCAAGGAGAAAGGTTTTTCAACAGACCGGAGAGTGTGTGGTTTTGCGTGCTGCCTGCATCCCATGGATGGGGCTTTGCTTGTTTGTGTGAACTGGTTGCTAGCATGCCACGGCCTGGTACTGGTCCATGGACCAGGAGTTGGAGACTCTATGCTATAGGGACTATTGGATTGAATGGTATATAAACAGCAGGTAAACTGGATTCATATATTTGGGCTGACATGAGGAGAACATGTTGTGACTACCACAACGGGTGTGGCAATCATGAGTTGCCTAACATTGTATAGTTCAGTGGTTCTCAACCTATGGGTCGGGACCCCTTTCACGGGGGTCGCCAAACAACGCAGTCTGCCATTTTTTCCCCCTTTTCCTTAGCTGTGCTACTCCCTTTTATTCTATTGGCCTTTGAAAGCCAATAGAATAGACTCTCTTGAATAGAGTCTAATTCTATTGGCTTTCAAAAGCCAATAGGAATTGTCCAGGCTGTCTCTGCCCTGCTGAGCCCGCCAAAAGTCCCATTCTGCAAACGGTGCTGCACCAGTTGAGTCGTCCTCGACTTACGACCAGTTGAGTAGTCCTCGACTTATGACCGGTTGGGGGGTCGCGGCATTAAAAAGGTTGAGAACCACTGCTATAGTTCTTTAAGTTAGTCTCCTTACCATCTTAATTCCATTGATAGCCATTCACTGCTTTTATTTTATCAGAATGGGTACACAGGGAATCCAATAATATTTCTGGTAATGCAGAATTTTCTGTTCCTCTGTGTAACATACTAGGCTTCTTTTTTAAATTTTCTTTAAAAGCAATATTTATCTTTATTAGAACAGGGAGCTCAGCGAGAGAAATGTCCACATGGACTCCGTTGCTCATAGATGTCACCTTCAGATTTCAAGAATTATTCCAGTTTCAATATATCTCATCCAATATTGAAACTATTTCTGTGGTATCTTTAAAGCCTGTGACTTAACTATCAATACCGATTTAACAACTTGACAACCAAGATGTAATAAAAATTTGAGAAGCCGAGCACTGCTGCGTGCATGCAGCCATTGTACGAATGTAGATTAATATCATAATTATTTTATGCCCCCATAGTTAGTTCTCTCAGATACAGCAAACCCAATTGTCCATGAAATAAAATTTCATAGTTAAAATGCCTCTTTTATGTTTTTTTTATTGCAGCAATAAAAAAAAGGGGGCTCCAAGGGAAGATCATTCATAAAATATACAATTTAAATAAAGGGATTTTTATTATTAATAAATATTTATCACTTTAATAAAGTGCCTGTTTTAAATAAATAATGACAGGCACGTATCAACACGGCTTTGAAATATGTATTTAATATTCGGGATGATATTAATCTTAAAAGAGGCAAAGGAACTCCATAGAAAATCTGGTTATTTTTAGTGGACCATTTTTCGTTAAGATTACTGAGAGTAGAGAATATCTGGAGCTCTGGGTTGAACTGTGGGGTTTTTTGATACTCTCTGAGCTTGGTGGTTTTCCTTGCAGATGTTTCATTACCAAACTATGTAACATCATCAGTGCCAGAAGAAGATGGGGCTTGCGAAATGGAGAAGGAGGAGGAAAAGGAGAGAGGAAGAGGAGGAGGAGGAGGAGGAGGAAGAGGAGAAGAGGAGGAGGAAGAGAAGAAGAGAGAGTAGCAAAGAAGAGGAGAGAGGAGGAGAAGAAGAAAAAGGAGAGAAGAGGAGAAAGAGGAGGAAGAGGGGGAGGAAGAGGAGAAGAAAGAGGAGAGGAGAGAGAGGAGGAGAAAAAGGAGAAGAGAAGAGGAGAAAGAGGAGGAGAGAGGAGGAGGAGGAAAGAGGAAGAGGAGGAGGAGGAGAAGAAGAAAGAGTAGGAGAGAAGAGAAAGAGGAGGAGGAGAAAGAGGAGGAGAGGAGAAAGAGGAGGAGGAGGAGAAAGAGAAGAGGAGGAGAGAGGAAGAGGAAAGAGGAAGAGGAGAAGAAGAAGAAAGAGTAGGAGAGAAGAGAAAGGAGGAGGAGAAAGAGGAGAGAAGAGGAGAAAGAGGAGAGAAGAGGAGAAAGAGGAGAGAAGAGGAGAAATAGGAGGAGAGAGGAGGAGGAGGAAAGAGGAAGAGGAGGAGGAGGAGGAGAAGAAGAAAGAGCAGGAGAGAAGAGAAAGAGGAGGAGAAAGAGGAGGAGAGGAGAAAGAGGAGAGAAGAGAAAGAGAAAGAAGGAGAAGAAGAAGAAGAAGAAGAAGAAGGAGAAGAAGAAGAAGAAGAAGAAGAAGAAGAAGAAGAAGAAGAAGAAGAAGAAGAAGAAGAAGAAGAAGAAGAAGAAGAAGAAGAAGAAAGAGAAGAGAAGAGGAGAAAGAGGAGGAGGAGAAAGAGGAGGAGGAGGAGAAAGAGGAGAGAAGAGGAGGAGAGAGGATGGATTCCTTGGTTGTTTTCCCTGCAGAGGTTTGATTGCCAAGCCAGATAACATCATCCATGCTAAGTTTTAATGCTAGTTTTAGCCCTGGTGATGCTAGTTTTACATTATCCATATCACTCTATGTCAGTGGTTCTCAACCTTTCTAATGCCGCGACCTCATAATACAGTTCCCCATGTTGTGGTGACCCCCAACCATTTATACATCACTGGGTGCCAGGGGCGTGGCCAAAGAAAAGGGGAAAAAAATGGCGGACTGCGTCGTTTGGCAACCCCCGTGAAATGGTCGTTCGACCCCAAATGGGGTCCCGACCCACAGGTTGAGAACCACTGCTCTATGTCTTTGCTGCAATAAAATAGGTGGATACCCAGAAATTTTTTTTTTAAAAAAACACCAATATATACATATATATATTTATGTTCCTACCATATGTAATCCATTGCTTTGGATAATGCCATCTTGTTCCACCAAGTTTCGAGACACTGTAATAGAAGGCAGATCCAAACTCTGGGGGGGGAACTGAGGGGTAAATTCATTTCCTTGGGCCCCCAACTGATCACTGAGGCCTTGGAAAGGCAGGAGAATATCAGCCGTCCCTAAATTCGTGGGATCCAGTTCAGGTGGGGGCGTAATTGGCGGAATCTCAAACTCTTCGTCTCCAAGGCTTGGGGTATGGAATGTTTGCTAAAAGGAAGATAAATAAATAAATTCTTTGTTAGGATCACACAACAACAAACATTGTTTTGTTTTGTTTTTTTAAAGTCAGTCATCCAGGTCAGGGTTGCCCCAAAGGTGCGTTTTTCTTTTTCTTTTGGTCCCAAAAGGCAACTGTTCTTTCTTTATTTTTCTTTGAGGACATTCCGCTTCTCATCCTAGAACAGTGACGGCGAACCTTTGAGAGGCCGAGTGACCAAACCACAACCCCAAACCCACTTATTTATCACAAAGTGCCAGGGCATTGTGGTGCCCTCGGGGGGGGCATGGGGGTGTGGCCCACTGGGTGGGCGTGACTGGGGTGGGCGTGGCCATCTCGATGCTGCTCATGGGGGGGACGCCTGTGGGCGCTGGGCAGGGTAGGGGGAGATCCAGGGGGTCTCTGGTGGGTGGGGTGGTGGGCAGGAGGCCCAGCATAGATGGGGGGGAGGCATGCAATCCTAGCTGGGACTGGGGGGCCATGGCGTCGACGGGGATCCGGCTTTCTCTGCTCGGGGTGGCCTTTGGCTCGCTGGGTGTGGATATACTCTATCACCTCTACTTGAGCTCGCTAGCTGGATGCTTCACCTCCTTTGTGCTGGGTGCGGCTGCCGCCCCGGGCGGCAGCAGCAATGTAATGGACCTGCGCAAGCTGCTGGCAGCGGTGGCACGCGTGCCCACAGAGAAGGTTCCGAGTGCCGCCTCTGGCACGCGTGCCACAGGTTCGCCACCACTGTCCTAGAAGCTTCCTTGGTTCAACTTCTTCTTCAGAACTGAAGAAGCTTCTTGGATGAGGGGCGAAACGCCTCCAAAGAAAAACAAAGAAAACCAGTTGCCTCTTGGGAAAAAAAGCACCTTTGGGACATTGTTTTTTTTTTAAAAAAAAATTCTTCTACACTCCTCGCAACTTGACTGGCAAGTTCCTCACATCTGCCCAGCTTTTTTAGATCTTTCGGATTAAAGATTCAACTCTCATTATCATATGGCTTTAATGATGTATCAGTATTAATTGTTTTTTAATGCACACTTAATTAGCAACATCTGTCTCTGTTGTTGGAGTGAACATCGGCTAGGCTGGGCTGGTTTTTTGTTTTTTTTTTTTTTTAGCTGGAGAACAAATTGCCAGTTTATTGATATATTATGAAAAAAAGAAACCCGCACAAGCAGGTTACAAATTGTTCTGACACCACCATAAATGCTTTCAATTTTGGTCGAGCACATACGTACTGGTAGTAAAGTCTTATCGCTCATACGCATGAAATGTTAGAATCCCAATCCTATTTCAAATTCCCTCTTATTCCATTTATTCACAATAACAGATTGTATCCTATTCTGGTAGTTGTTACAGTAGTTGGAAAAGTTTATTTATTGCAATGGCTCCTAAACGGGGTACCTTGGTTTTGTTCACATGGAACAAGATACAGGGAGTGTTCGACTTAAAACAGTTTGTTTAGTGGGAGTCTGAAGTGACAACGGCACTTGGAAAAGGGGGGGCTTATGACCATTTTTGCACCAGCCCCGTGGTCAAGCGATCAACATTTGTCACTTGGTAAAGGTTAAATTGGAATACTGATGAGAAATTTAAAATTATGTAAAAATTAATAACAGGATATGGATTGCTTATGAAGACTGAATGTAATTAAGATATGTATAAGCTAAAACTTTATTGATAAATGTAATGATGATGTTTTTATCGAGTTGATGTAATTGGAAATGTACTAGATTGAACACGAGATAGTAACTGTTAAGGGAAAAAGAGAAGAAATATCTGATGTTGTAACCTGAGATTTGCACTAAAGATTTTGTTATTGAACTATTGATTAACCCAGTCACCACGCTGCTTTTTAAATACTTAAATGTAAAATATTATAATATTTGGCAACGGACAAGCATTTAGGCTCATGGGATTCCCCTTTTGCAATCTTCTGACAAGCAAAGTCAACGGGACTTAACCACCATGTGACTAATTTAACAGATGCAATGATTCACTGAACAACTGGGACAAGGAAGATCATAAAATGGGGGCAAAGATCACTCCACAACAGAAAGCCACGGAAATATTGGGTTCCGTTTTGGTGGTAAGTGTAGGACTCTTTTTATATGAGTGTTAATGATGGGTCTCTTCTGAAAAAAAACATACACATCCTGTCCCAATATTCACATGTAAATTTCTACGCTCCAATTTACACTCCTCAATTTACAACCATTGGGATTGGGACGTCCATCCTTAAGTGATGCGACCGTTAAGTGCAGGCATGTGGCTATGGGAGTCGGGCGCGCAACTGTCAGAACTTTAGATCTGGGTCATAAGCCCCCTTTTTCAGTTAAGTCATAACTTCAACCCATCATAAGTCAAGGACTACCTGACTACCTTGTTAAATATCTATGAAACCTTTTGAGAAGCAGTTTTGACCAACGCAGAATCGTCATTGTTCCATTATTCCAATTAATCTAGTACGCTGTAACTAAAATAGGCACGTTCTAGATCCAATGTTTAAAGTGATGTCAGCTAATAGGACGGACCCAGGAAGTAGAGCTTGTCTGTCACAGTTCCTGTCTTCTGGAATAGCTTCCTCAAGAGATTCAAGGTACCCCAAATCTGCTATCCTTGATAGACCTAAGTTTTTTCCACCAACGCTCGGTAAAGGAAGTGTGTCCACATAGGAATTTTATTAATATATGGGTTAATCTCTGGATTAGAGCCTTCGTCTGTTTGTACAGACTGTTTTTTTTAAAACTAGTACATTGACCAGATTCATTTTGAGTTGGGCGCCCTATACATTTGACTAATAAGTCAATAAATAAACGCAGTTATTAACTTATATAGTAGCAAGCAGAAACCCAATATAAAGGATTCCTTCTCAGCCCAGGTAGAGTTTTCACCCAACGATGGCCAGTAAATTCTTTTGATTATGAGCCCATCAATAGTTCAGTTAGGCAGCCATAGTTAGGGTGGAAAATGTCTCATTGAGCACACTATACATCGACAATATTGCTACTCCATAACTACTCTGTTGCCTATTGTTAGAACTACTGTAATTATTTTTGTGGCTTCTTCACAACACAACCCCTCCAATTGTTTTCCAAATCAGTGTCACAGTGAAGCCAAATAAGCTACTCCACATGTAAACCACTTAAGAGTTTGAGCAATTGTTCCCGAGGAAAACCCAGAGCTTTATTAAAGATATTAACAATTCCAGGGATTGTGTTGTTTCGGGGTAGTGCCGTAGTGTACAGTCACAACAGATGGCTGCAGATGGATCACCAACAACTGCATGGCAATCTCACTGCCTTCTTTACCTAGTTTACCTGGAGCTGAGCCTGAATTAAAAGAGTTTACCTTACAGATTATTATAGGTTGGGTCTATTTTGTTTAAATCAGACTACAGTTGTGCTTCCAAGGGAGGCGGCGATTTCGCCTCATGCATTATTTATACTGTCCAAAAGAGCGACTTAATGCCAGTTAATTTAAAAATGATACGTTTGGTGAAATTTCTCATTAAGTGGCTAGAAATTGTCATCCTTCAAACTGTTAATGATGATATAAATTAATAACTGCTTGAGAGAAAATGGAAACTGAAATGCGAGGACAAGGAAAAAAAGGGGGTCCCTTTGCTTGCATATGAAAAAAATGTCAGCTGTCATTACTGCTCTCCCATCAGGAAGGAGACGGCAGCAGACAGCCGTCTGCAGAAATAAAACCATCTTGAGAGAATCAAGCAGGCTCATAACACACACGCGCGCACACACACACACACACACACACAGGACATGGGCACAAATATTGCAACTTAATCTCAGTCCTGCAAGCTCCTGCTTTGCATGGGGAGATATTTATTCCTGTTTCAATATTTAAAAAAAATGGGAGGGGGGGGGGAAGGAAGCTATTCATAGTCAACAGACTTGAAGTTCACCAACACAAAAGGATGAATTGGGCACGGAAGGCCTTTGGCTAATAAAAATAACCCTATGGCTACGTTTTACAGTTGGGGTTGGCACAAAAGCTGCCTAGTAACAGATGCAATGATAATTTGTGACTCATTTACTACCCTATTACCGCTTAATGAAATCTAACATATCACATTAACAATATGGATAAACACTCGTTCCTGATATCTGGCATTTGGCTGTCTTCATTACCATCGTAATTATCATTTGAAATATTATTTCAATAAATATTTAAGGTGCTTCAGGATACGGGTTTTTTTTGTTTTTGTTTTTGAAAGAAAACAAAACCGGGTGACAGCTTTTTTTATGACACTGACATGGGTTTATGCAAAAAACAAACAAACAAACAAGCCACATCAATTTCTCAACCTAAGTTGTTTTTTAAGGGCTAATGGAACAAGCGAACTGGCAGGCATTAGATTGAAATGCAATATAACCTTAAAGATGTGACAGGTACAGATTGAAAAGGTACCTAATATCGTAGACTTGGTAACTAAATATACCCATACCTTGATGACTGCAAAGCAATCATCCACAGCAGAAATATATATGTATGTATGTATGTATGTATGTCTTTGGTTGTTCGGGTTTTCTCCCGCGTAAAATTGGAAGTGTCTTGGCGACGTTTCGACGAAGTCCCATTCGTCATCTTCAGGCTGGTGTTTTCAGCTTCGTGCCTGGTGCTCGAAGCACGAAGCTGAAAACACCAGCCTGAAAATGACGAATGGGACTACGTCGAAACATCGCCAAGACACTTCCAATTTTACGCGGGAGAAAACCCGAACAACCAAAGACCTACATACAAACACCCGCGAAAACCTCAGAAAACATATATATATATATTCAACTATTCTGTAGTCCTTCGTAGTACAAATGGTATAAATGTTTTCTAAGTCAGACATGGCAGTTGAATTCACTTGGTGAAAGGGAGTATGAAAAATAATATCTCCAATAGTTGTGTTATTTATATGCCTCCCTATAACACAACTATTTTATTCTGCAGCACGTTTTTGAAAAATGATATTTCTCATGTTTTCTTGAGGTGTACCAAGAGTTTAATCAAAAACAAAAAGAAAGAAGAATCAAAACCGTCTCACGTTAGGATTGCTGAAAGTAATAGATAAGCAAATAAGATGAACCTAATCTAAATGAAGACAATGTTCAGGGCGGAAGTATTCTAAACGATTTAGCCTGTTTCATATTCTGCAAAGTGTCTCCATGTTGTGCAATTTGATTCTGGAGAAAAGTCCTCTTATGATCCGGAGACGACTGGGCAATGTTTTCAAGAGAGTTGCGTTGCCCATCGTGATTATAAAAGAGCTATTAACTTTTCATGCCTTTCTCTCTTAGATTACTTTCGGGAAGAGAGAAAATCCTCCAATCCTTAATAAAAAAAAAAAAAAAAAACCAACCCCAGAAAAACAGTGCATGTGGTTAAAATGCCATCTGCACCGAAATGTTCAAAACATTTGTTCCTTTTGATAAAAATGCAAATTTGGAGAGCTGTTGTATCAACATATAACAGCCAATGTCTGACACGGTGAATTATCACAGCTGGAATTAAATTGTCTCTGAACAGCTGCTGGCAGCAGAGCCTTCATCAATGTTTGATTCAAATGGAGGAATGAAATTCTACAGAATGAAACATCATGTTGTCATTACAGATGGGGGTGGTGTTCATTACCACAACCAACACCGAAGCAAGCCGGTGCCAAGCAATCTTCCCTTATCTAAGCAATCTTGTTGGAAGGGAGGAAAGAGAGAAAGAGGAGGAGGGAGAGCGAGGCATTGTTTTAAAACTATGGACATAAAAATACTGCATTGAATACAGCCACATTTATCACGGCTCTCCGAAAATTTTTCTCCTCTATAGTTTTTTTTTCCCCTTCTCTGCTGTACAAGGATATAGGCAAAAAAAAAAAAAAAAAAGATTTATGGCTCAGAGGCAAAAAAGCTATTGATCTCAGACGTTTCTGTTTACAAGTCCAACTCAAATGCTGGAGGACTTCACTGCAATTTTCATTCCCACAGAATGACAGAGTGAAGTGGACCTCGGAGGTCTTCTAGTCCAACCCCCTGCTCAAGCAGGACTCACTTTCAGACAAATGGTTGTCCAATCTCTTCTTAAAAACCACCAGTGTTTGGAGCACCCACAACTTCTGGAGGCAAGTCATTCCATCGATTGTTTTCACTGTCAGAAAATTCCTCCTTAATTCCAGGTTGCTTCTCTCTTTGATTAGTTTCCATCCGTTGCTTCTTGTCTTGCCTTCAGGTGCCTTGGAGAACAGGCTGACCTGCCCTCTTCTTTGTGGCAGCCCCTCAAATATTAGAAGATTGTTATCATGTCACCCCTAGTCCTCCAGTAATAAAAATTGAACCATCAAGAGAAGTAAAACAGAAAGCTGGACAAATTCAGCTTGCATTTCTATCCAATTGAAGCAAACATGTATGTTGGCCAAAAAACAGCTCAGTCTGCAGCAGTCACTTTTGCTACCCTGATGTTCTTTAGAAGAGAGATTCCCAACCTTTTGGGCACCAGGGACTGGTTCCATGGAGAAAAGTTTTTCCGTGGACTGGAGGGGGTGTGGTTTTGTGTGCTGCCTGCACCCCACGGATGGGGTTTTGCTTGTTTGTGTGGACCAGTTGCTGACATGCCACGGCCCACTACCGGTCCATGGACCAGGGGTTGGAAACCCCTACTTTAGAAAACCATCAAGGAGAGGACCAACAGACTGAAAGAACTACAGGAATATTGGGCTGGCAATTGCCTCTCTGCCATCTTTCCCAGATGTTGGCCAACTCCATCACCCTGTGACCTAGTCAGATTCTATCAATCAAAGTTAATGCTTCCACTGTACCAAGACTCTCTCTACGGAGAATCTCCTCGTCTTTCCCAGAAAACAAATGATCCTGCAAACCAGTTGTGTTCCCTTTGTTTTCCTAAGAACCTAAATTTAAAAATAAGGTGTTTGTATCTGTGGCCCTAATTAGTTGATGAGCGTTCAATGAATTTGCTTTAAAATGTACATCTACTGTGCCTTAAATCTGCCTCCTTCTGGTTGCCTTTATGCATGTGCTTATATGCACATGCATTTATGTATGTACGTATGTATGTATGTATGTATGTATTAATTTTTGCACATTTTTGAACCATCTATCTCCCCTTATCTGTCTGTATGTAACAAACTGCAGGAAAAGGAGTGATAGAAACTGTGGGAGGCGCTAAAAAGGGATCAGTCTAGAATCCTTATGTAGCCACAAACTAAATCCACCCTCTCTTGAATTCCGTGGATCCTTATCTAACTCCAAATAGCAAATAACCATTAGTTGAGAAGATTCCTGTACATAGGCATTTTAGCAATAAATCAGTTTAACTGGACCCTTCACGTGTGGAGCTGGTCTTTCACGCCTGAACAAATACATGCACACGCACAGGCACACACATAGATACACACAAATACACACACACACATTTGCAGATTTGTTTTTATTGTCCTGCTACATAACCAACACTCTTACAGACAACTAAATTGACCCACAATGGTAAAATGTCAGGTTATTTTCTCTCTCATTAAAGACTTTATTTTGTGCTTCATAAAACACAGAAAATTTAGCACTTTGCCCATCACCTGCTGAAATGGTAAAGGTGAACAACAGAATTACAGTGTAAAGCAAAGAGGAATAAAGTGTTTGTGGGGGGGGGGATGCAATACTTACCTCATTCGCTGCAAAAAATGCGTTATTTGCTTCTGCCATATTCATGTAGTTATTGTTGCCAAACTGAAAAGAAAAGTATGATGTTAATATATTGCATTCTATTACATTACACTATATCATACTGTATAACACATCCTGGAAAATGTAAAGGTTGTAAGAACAACTTGGATCCTAATGCTGTAGGAGTGGGTAGCGTAAAAAAAATTAATTTGCTAAGTTTCAAAAACTCTTAATCGAATGTTCAGTTGGGAATTCTGAGAACTGTTGATTTTAAACATCTTGCTTCAAGTGTTCCTTCCACAACTGCTGCATCCCAACATATGTATTTATGTTAACTCTTTTTATTTAGAATAACTTTGCTTTCAAGCAAAGCCATTTTAAAAGAAGCATAATATAATGATACTATAATAACAATACACATATTAAAGCAAGATTATGCCGTAGATATCTGCAAGACTCATAAGATTATGACAGCCTAGAAGAGAATCCAATAAAGCTGAAAGGTGAATAAATAAAACTCACAACCTGGTTACATTAACATCAGGAAAAAAATCAAACTTTTCATAAATATAAGCATAGGTAGTCCTTGATTTACAACCGTTCACTTAATGATGGCTTGAAGTTACAACGACACTGAAAAAAGTGACTTATGACCATTTTTCATACTTACGTCCATTGCAGCCTCCCCCATGGTCATCAAAATTCAGAAGCTTAACAACTGGGGCGAGAAAAGTCATAAAATGGGGCAAAACTCTCTTAACTGTCTTGCTCAACTCCATAAATTTTGAACTCAACTCTGGTCACACATCAAGGATTTACCTGTACTTCATTTTACGTAAATATCTATTTTATTTATTATTGCATTTACGTGCCACTCATTTTGCTCCTGTAAAACAGTCTGCACATTTTATATACAACACATACATGCATATATGCACAGACACACAATTTTATGACAGGCAGTGTCCAGAGCTAAAGTACCATTCAAGACCATTAGCATCAAGTTACCAGAGTTGCGTCAGTTGAGAAGACAAATTATATAAATAAAAATTTAAGTAAAATTTAATAAAGCTCTCTCTCTCTCTGTGTATATGGGACATCTAAAGGCTATAAAACTAACGCACTGAGTTACCGAAACAAATTGTTAAAGCAAATTAATGATAAGGAACAAAGGTTCCATCATATTTAATAATTAATAATTAAACTATGATTAAACATTTAAGCTGCGTGAGCGATAGAAAGAGAAGCCCAGAAGGTGTTTATATCCAAAATCAAGGCCTCTAAATTGGGGTTTTGAACAAGAATTTAACTACTAGCTCCTTAATTCACCTCCTCAGTTTAACCCAAGAGCAACTGGTGAAAGTCAAACCTTCATCTACCTGGTTTTATATTTGTTATTGTAGCTTTTTTGTTACTGTTTGGCTTTAAATTGCTAAATTTTATTAGAAGGTTACATTTTACTTCAAAGTTACCAGAAAGACACATACAGTTACAACATTTGTTACTAGGATGCAACAGCAATGGTGCTGAGAAAGCTACAAACAATTCCTTACAACACTTTTCTGAGCTGTGAAAAGAACAATGATTCATTCCCACAAGCATAAAGTTTTGACAATCAACAGGGAATTATTGAGTGTTCTGGCTATGAATGCGAGATATATCATCACCATCCCTACAAGCAGCAATTCGCCACATGCAAGAGACTGCTCAATCTTGCTCATAGTATGTCAGGAATCTCAGTACACGTAGTCCTCGACTTACGACCACAATTGAGCCCAACATTTCTGTTGTTAAGTGAGACAGTTCGTTAAGTGAGTTTTGCCCCATTTGTTATGACGTGATCCCCTTTTGCGAACTTCTGAGGAGCCAAGTCAATGGGGAAGCTGGATTCATGTAACAACCATGTTACCAACTTAGCAACTGGAGTTATTCCCTGAAGAACTGTGGCAAGAACGGTCGTAAAAAGGGGCAAAATTCACTTAACAACTTGTCTCACCTAGCAACAGAAATGTTGGGCTCAGTTGTGGCCACTGGTCAAGGATTACCTGTAGAGGCACGAAAGAAAAGGGTGGGTAATGATCTAAAGCCTGGGACTTTTGCAACAAGATCTTGTCGAGTATCAGGACGGCAAGTGCAAAAAAGGTGGTGTTTGTTTCGTGATGTCATTACTCCAGTTCTTACTCTTTATCATCCCTTAGCCCTAAATCAAACTTTAAGAGGAACGCTTCCTCTTAAAAGAAAAAAGAAAAAAAAAGGGGGGGGGGGAATTAGCAAAACCTGAAAGAAAAACACAGCCTGCCTGGATTCATTTTATCTCAACGTTTTAGAAAGCATGCCAAACATAAGAGGTTGGAAGAACAGGAGGGCCACAAAAAAGTAAAAAACCCCAACCTCTTGTTTGTGGGAAGCATGTGAGGAATTTTAATCAAAATTTGTAGCTGAGAGGGTGAGGACATACCCTTCCATTCATTCCTGTACTGTTTATATGTCTTGCCCCCTCCCACGTATTCTGGCAAAACTTTAAATTTACTGCATGTACATTTCATTACCGGTACACCGAGTTCTTGATGCAGATGTAATCAGAATTAAAGTGCACTAAATTCCAGAGGTATGTCAGATCAAACTTTGCAGAGAGCAAATATTTTGATTCTTTACTGGAAACAATGGGGGAAAAGCTGTTTGTTCTATTTCTATCTCTCTATCCCTATCATCTGTCCATCCGTCCATCCATCCATCCATCCATCCATCCATCCATCTATCTATCTCTATTATTTCTGCCTCTCTCTGTATCTAAATCTATCTCTCTATCTCTATCTCTCTATCTCTATCTATCTCTCTATCTCTCTCTCTGTATCTATCTATCTATCTATCTATCTATCTATCTATCTATCTATCTATCTATCTATCTGATCATAATCTAGAGAGGAATTCAAATTGAAAGTATTTCCTTGTTTTCTTTGAATGCTTATTTTAATTTTAAAAGAAACCCACCAGTCATTCCTTTAAGGGCAGGACATGTCAGGGCTGCCAAATCCAGGCTGCAAAGATGCAGACAACCATTAGAGGGCAGCAAAGAGATCCAGAAACCCTTCACTGCCATCTTGCAGTTACTGGAATTTCTGCAGCTCCGATCTTGGAGCTCAAGAAAAGTAACTCAAGAAGGGAAGAAGAGAGGCAAGGAATTCTCCATAGGTAAAACGACAAATATCTACCCGTGGTCCTCGGCTTACGACCACCACTGAAACTAGAGCTTCTGTTGCTAAACAATGCGGTTGTTAAGTGAGCGATGCTTCAGGCTATGTCCTTTCTTGCCCAGGAGGTTAAGTGAATTATGGCAATCGTTACATAAACCTGACTTCTCCCACTGACTTTGCTTGTCAAAAGCAGGCTGGGAAGGGAGCAAATGGGGATCACATCACCCTGGGAAGCTGCAACCACAGAAAATAAATTGGCCAAGTGCCCAAATTGTGGAATCACTGCAATGGTTGTACAAGTGTGAGGACTGGCCATAAGTCACTAATCTGGCCATTGTCATTTCAAACGGTCATTAAACAGATGGTCATAAGTGAAGGGCTACCTGTATTCTACTGTACTCCCTGAGCTACCTTGACATACTCTCCCCTAGACCTCTGGGTGGTGGAGTCTAATGATGATGATGATGATGATGGAAGGGACCTTGGAGGTCATCTAGTCCAACTTTCCTGCTCAGGCAGGAAACCCTACACCTTTTCAGACAGATGGCTGTCCAGTCTCTTCTTAAAAACTTCCAGTGTTTACTGCTTCTGGAGGCAGGTTGTTCCACTGGTTAATTGTTCTCACTGTCAGGAAGTTTCTCCTTAGTTCTAGGTTGCTTCTCCCCTTGATTAGTTTCCATCCGTTGCTTCTTGTCCTGTCTTCAGGCGCTTTGGAGAAGAGCTTGACTCCCTCTTCTTTGTGGCAACCTCTTAGCAATAGCAGTAGCACTTAGACTTATATACTGCTTCACAGTCCTCTCTCTAAGCGTTTTACAGAGTCAGCGTATTGAGGACCCCAACAATCTGGGTCCTCATTTTACCAACCTTGGAAGGATGGAAGGCTGACTCAACCATGAGCCAGATAGGATCGAACTCCTGGCAGTCGGCAGAATTAGCCTGCAATACTGCCTTCTAACCACTGTGCCACCACGGCTCTTAGATATTGGAAGACTGCTATGTCACCCCTCATCCTTCTCTTCATTAAACAAGACATAGCCAATTCCTGCAACCTTATATGTTCCTTATATGTTTTAGCCTCCAGTCCTCTGATCAACTTTGGTGCTCTTCTCTGCACTCTTTCTAGAGTCTCTGACAATTTTACACCGATTTTACACCGAGGCAGTGGAAAAAGTCTAATAATCTAGACGAAAGAAAGAAGGCTGTGATAGAAATAATCCTCTGAACAGTTAACATGTGCATGTAATTAATGTAAGATCTACAACTAATCAGATATGAATTGTATCCATTAATTAGCACTGGCCCTAGAGAAATGAGAAGTGGGAGGGGGGGGGAAATCAGTAAAAACATTAGCGCTAAAATGTGCCAGCCTCTGATGAAACATAGCTCTGGTGGCATCTGAAATCAAGCAGCTGGCACTAGCCCACCAAGCAATTTAAGAACCTTTCACCTGAGGTCTGGCCAACTGGAGATATACAAAGCTTTCTCTCCCTATCTTTCGTCTCTCTATGAGGCTTATTATTAATGGTTTTTAATTTAGCAAATTCTCGGTGATCAGCTGGGAAATGCTATAAATCACACACCAAACAGAACAAAGAGTTTCATACTTCTCCCTCCCACCCCAGTCGAAGATTTAATTTTGGAGAGGCAGTTCAAGAGGACCTGTCACCTGCTCTTCAAGGCTCTTTACTGGTACAGCTCCCATTTCATAAGGGGCCGGAATTCAAGCTTTTTGACGGGTTGTTGTTGTTTGAAGCCTTCGTCTCAATTTAGTTCTAGTCGGATTATACAAGGTACAGGTAGTTCTCCACTTACAACGGTTTATTTACTGACCGTTCCAAGTTACAACGGCACTCTCTAAGCGGTTTACAG